CTTCCCTCTAGTCTTACACTGCTAAATTAGGGACGGGTAGCACAGTAGCCCTTATGTAGCTTTGCGTGAAATTCAAAAACAACAAATAAGTTTTCGGTCTCAACACCCTTCCCAGAGTTTTATCTTTTCAATCAACAATTGCTTTCTACCTCCGGTGACTCAGCAGAGAGTCTTAGGGCTCATAACATTAAAAATTGGGTTTCAGTAGTAGCGATGGGTAGAGCACAAATAGTCCATTATGTAGCTTTGGGCTTATCAACAAATGAACAATTCAAAAAGTGGAAAGAGTAGGTGACTAACACCGTATAGTAAAGTCGAAATTATAAAACATTCACGATATGTCATGCGTTAGAACAATAACTCAAAAAATGTTGACTGACCGCAATACCACTTTATCAACTGTATGTTACAGTGGTCCTGTGTGTGGATGTAGTTTCTGAAGAACTTGTAGTACGCCTTTGTTTATGACTTATGTGAATTAGGCCTAAAATTATAGAAATATATCTTCAGGATTACAGACGTATCTACGCATATATTGATTTAATTTAGATAAGCTTATTTGATACCTGTTTTCAACTTATTTTTTATACATTGGCAAAGGTAAGATATTATTTTTTATTCTTGAAATTATTAGATTACAATATATACAAAGTTAGGCATATTCTGAATTTTAATTAGATAACGATTGAATCTAATCAAAGAGTTTATCAATGATTTTGATAATTTATTATTTATAGTTGCGACTTGCCCGCTAACAAATTATATATAATTATAAAGATATTGTATCCTGTGTTTACTTAAATGTTCTGATTTATTATGCAGTTCATTTTTGTAAATAATTGTAACCAAGAAATTGAATTAGTGTGATAGTACCGCTACAATTATAACTTAGGTTAAACCTTAAGTTTAAGGTCACTGAAGTACATTTGAAGGTTTTAGTTTTAACATTTCTGCTCCAACTTGCATTGTACCATAGTATAGGCGTAACATTACAGCATTGGTGAGATTATGTACTCAGCACTAGCAGAAGTACTACCCTACTTCTACAGTAATCGTAGCGGTTCACTTCATATTTAAAAAAAAAAATTCACAAATTTCACAGTATTTCACCCAATTTTCATCCAGTACATAAAATTATTGCTTCATATAAAGAAAAAGCTTGTGGCTTTGCTTTATGTATGTTTAAACTATTAAAGCCTGGTTTTCTAAATAACACTTTTAACACATGTAATTCATTAGAAATGCTTATGTGGTGATACGCATAAAAGCTAGGATATGTATATATTATCCCAAAATTAAATATTTCACAGCTTTTTGTGAGATTTAAATAGTGTTGAGTAAGACCTGGTATTAACATATTTTGGTTAAATTATTGGGGTATTTTTGAAATATGCATTGGTTTAATTGAAATTGATCAAAAGTTCTATAACTTCAGCAATGGAAGTAGTGTTAAAGTTACCAAAATTTGAAGTTATGGCAGCAAACCCAAAAATTTACATTGGAATGATGCTATAATCCAGTAAAGTTAATTAGTAGATATGAAAGACATGAAGGTTTTAAGGTGGTAACCATGGATAATTACGCTGACGTTATGTGTAATGCAAGCTTATAACAACTATGAAAAGCAGCATATTATAGATATAAAATTTCTTGCATTGATACATTTCACCTTTCATGTTTTATTCCATTTAAACCACAGTAAATGTATATCTGTCTTATAGCACATATTACTAAACTAAACACAAATAAGCAAGGTGACAGAAGGCCATTTGACCATTCAAGGTTGCCAGTCTACCCTTTGAGATAACCATCTAAAGCAGCAAAAACAACTAAGGCTAGGGCTTCATTCAACCTATGTGGGCACATCACAAAAAGATTAAACAAATTCAAATTAACAACATACACTGCATTATTTGTTTTGTTTTTTATAACAAGTGGAGTTTTTTAACTTTCAATGAAAGAAGTATTTAGGTGATACAAGGCCATTCAGCATATCAAGTTATAATGTTAAGAAATTCAAAATGCTACATGTCTCAAATGATGAATTTTACAATTAAATTGAGTGATGCCAAAGTTATAGATAGTAAAAGAAGTCAAGAAAGCTATTGTATAATTGAAATAGGACTATAAAAATCTTAAGTCTAAATATTAAATACACGTGAAGGGTTTTTATGAATAAAGAACCAGAAAAGAAAGTTTTTAATATAAAGTATAGAATATAGTAATCTTATAATTTGCTAAACAGTTTCCTTAAATTCTATTTTGGGTAAAGGAAAAACTTTTGAAAGAACTTACAGCCTCTCTTAAGTTGGTGCAACTTCTACCACATTATAAATCAAACTATTCCATAGGCTGTTAAAAAAGTAATACTGTTTTAACTGGAGTTGTGTCTGAAAACTTGTTCTCAATATATTAATTAGTAAATCACTTTCTTAAGGGATTGTTGTAACAAAGTTTTAAAAAGAGGATGTAAGTGTTATTTTATGGAAACAGATTAAGATCTCTTATTTTCTCTGGAGAAAAGAATGGTAAGAGGTGATATTCATGAAGTTTACAAGAGTGTTGTATGATCTGATTGGATAAAGACCTTCGATTTTTTTTTCCTTGAAAACAGTAGAATGAGGAAACACAAGTTTAAGATTAAGAGAAGACAGGCTAGGCTCAAATTAAGACAGTCATATTTTCTGAAATGGTGATTGTCTGTTTGAATGAGTTGCCATTGACAGTAATTCAGGCTGGTACTTTATAAGAGTTTAAAAGTTTAATAAATAATTTCCCAAAAATGTGTGAGTAGGAAATGGACATACTCCATATATCTTTAAAGTATATGAGATGATGTACTCAGTACATTTTTACAGTAGTGAAAGGGTTAAAAGTTGAACTATGAAAAGAACCTTAAATGAAGCCACATCAAAGATGGCTGATGTTTTTAAGCAATACACACAACCTAAGAGGGGATATCATTCCTATGCAATATTATTGCAGTAACAAAAGCTTATTATTTTCAGATGACTGATTAAATTGATAGTCAGTAAAATGTCCAAATGATGAAAGTAAATGTATCTGTTTTAATCAATAGACTATTGGGAATGCTTACAGCCCAGTTCAGCATTTTTTAATGCACCTTTAATCTTGCCATTACACAGGACTATTTCTTCAACTTCATCATTCACTTGTATTTGTTGGGTGGTATATCAGCATGCTATATTTGCTAGTGACTTTGTGTGTGTATATATGGGGCTTTAAAATTTTAAATGGAACAGAATGTAAGAAAAAACACTAAATAGATTAACATATTGTGCTGTATAATAACCTTTCAATAGTAATTCTAAACACATTTCAACAAGATAATTACAATGATAGGAGGAGGAGATATCCAGCATTTACTTGATAATATTTACTTGATAATCAAGTAAATCTTCATCATTACATTAAAATCAGTCAAAATGTTGAGGAAACAATTGGAATAAATGTTGTAGTCACTTAAATTGTATTATGGTCATGTGTATAATATAGCTTATTGAACTGGGTACTTAACGGATGCATGTATTCACATGTGCTTTTCATGCACTATTCAGTAAGAAAAATATCGTCAATTTACAAATAAACTTACCAAAAAATAGAAAGCTAAGCATAAAGAAAACTATGAGGCTTAATGATCTTGAAACAACAAAGGAACTAGAACTTGAAACTCCTAATACTTTGAATACTACCTGAGTACAAGTCAGCCTAGGTGATATTAAGGTCTTGGGTGTTGCTAGCTGTGAAGAAAATGCTGCTGATTTACAAAAGGATTTAGATCATTTAGTGAGTTGGGCAAATAAATGGCAAATGGGTTTTAATTATAATAGATGCAAGATAATGGGTTATTATAATTTGATGATTTTTACAACTAGTACAATTTGGATTGTAATAACCTCAATAGTGTTATGAAGGAAAGGGATCTTGGTGTAATAATTGATCAGTCTCTAAAGCCATCCAAGCAGTGTGTTGTTGCTTGTGGTAGGGCAAATTGGATTTTAGGTTGTATTTACAGAAATATTGAATACAAGTCTAAAGAGGTTATAATTTCATTGTACAGATTACTTGTTAGGCCACATTTGGAATACTGTTTTCAGTCTTGGGCTCCTTCCGTTAGGAAAGGGTTC